CTGACAGTGCTGGATTTATGCACCAATTTATCAGCCCCCGCCTTCAATGCGCAGCTACTTACCCTCTCCCCCAAATCATCGGTAAACGAAACTGCGGCAGCTACAACCACTGTACGACGAGTACGCGGTTATTACAGCTGACAATGATGATGATGGAAAGAGCATTCAAGAGAGGATGCAGATTGGTTACAGAATGAAGTTTGATTGGGAAAACCATCGACACAAGCTGGGAGAACTGCTCTTGCTGGAAGTGATGGGGACTCAAAAAGGAAGGTCCAATCATCGGCAAACTGTTAAGTTATTACTTTCTCAGCAAAAATGACCTAAGGTGGTGCTCATGAAAAACTATGACCTTTTTCTGTGGAATTCAGCTAAGGTGCCACGCTCTGTAAGAAATCCGTATTACTTGCTATACGGATTGTAAATTGTTCAATTTCTATAGTCAGGTAACCAGGTACAAACATAACTGACCGGACATTGTTACGAATCACAAATCGCGCGCATAACCAATGTTTCGTTGGAGTACCTGTCAACTTCCAATCTCGTTAGTATTGACAACGTAATTCTTTAACTCCCACTTTTCGCCAATAGATCTAGATACCTAAACTCTGTTCCGTACTGTCCCCCCTGCATACTGTATAGCTTCCTAAAATGCGATGACCATGATTCGATGAATTCATCCTTTTGTCATAGTTTTGTGTCTTCTGTCATCCCATGAGCTTCTAATAATAACGAAATCCCCAACTTGGTCGTAATAACCCTCCACTACCGGGGGTACGACAACATCTGAGTTCTTTGTATGACGCAGGCTGTTTGGGTAAGTTCAGTTCGGTGACTCCTTGAACGCAGAGAAATTCTTAACGTGAGTATGACCTGTTAACCCCAGTCAGTCTGTTTGGACTGATGCGAACATCGGCCAGATGAAAATTTTGTGTGCCGCAAGATATGTGCTATACAACAGGGATCCTAGCGTACAAGAAAGAACGGAATCGTCCCAAAATGTGTGGTCGCGAAGCGGGAAACAATGCCGGAAAAGTGCATATTTGATGTGCATACAACAGATACGGGTTCAGTAACGACCATTCGGCCTATGATCTATTATTCTGGCACAGTAGGTTCCGTTCTGATTTGTGTCCGTCCTTAATGTACTTTATGAGCATGCTAGAAATGAATTGTTAGTTCAGTTTGAGTACTCGGACGGTTTGCCCATCATAATTTCAGTACTTGTGTGAAAGTAGTAGTATGAACAAAGCTCTGAAGTCAGTGTCTACATCTTCCGGCAATTCGATTCCGTAACCCATAGAAGTAGTCTAGTTGTTCTAGAGCAACAAGTACATACTTCGAATCAGCTGCTTCCTACAGCCTCAACTTGTTCACGGATGGCAAACACCATATTGAATTTTGGCTATTGCGTACCCATAGCTGACATCTTTCGACTGGCTTACCTCACCCATACTTTTGTGCTTCTCCTATCATACGAAACACAGAATAAAAGAGTGATTTTACAGATGTTATTTGTAATGGCCTTTTGCACTATCTGCAGGATTTCGTTTAAATAGCTCAATCAATGCACCTGTTAAACCGTCATTCCGCTGATACTCACTAGTTGTCGCCCAACATGGGTTCCCTTTTGACACCAGCCAATGATTTTTTGGGCGTTATCCCAAAAGTGGATTTGATGTACTGACACTGTTTGCTTTACTCACCATCTTGTAGCAGTCGGCCCACCATAGTCAAATCACCCTCGATAGGATAGGTAGCGACGATTTTAAGTGAATCTTGAGGAATACAGCCACTCAACCTCAGCGGAATGCTGAGCTGAAAACACATTAGAAGTCAACGAATTCGGTAAAACTCCCTGATTTGTTGTAAATAGATAGCTGCGTACGAGAATTTCACGAACAAATGACGGAGAGCGCTGCGGGGGAAATCACAGCCATGGGAATAAATGATGTGGCATAAAATGCTTTCATGTGAAATAATGCAACACGGTCGGTTTTGTCCATTTTGTTTATACAGCTTTTATAGGAGTTTGCTGAATACATGGCTTCGTCGGAGAATGCACTGGTTATAACTCTATGCTTGGTTATCGTATGGTTTATCAAAAAATGAATGCCTGGATCGAGCTGCTTTTAGGCGGTAACAAACCAGTGCTTCCGTGTTGCTAGTTTGTCTTTTTTCTCTGATCACAGCTTAACGTTGCTCTATTCCTTTTAGACGAATCGGACCGGTAAGCTCAACCCATATCGAATCAGATACAGGAGAGAATTCGGACGCTATTCTGTGCACCAATGTCTACAATCCTTACTCAGAAAAGGCTGCACATAAGCGGATTCTTGGCTACACCAAAAAAGATTTGGAAGAATGCTTTCGTGAACTCGATAATGACCCAGCTCGAGAAGGACAGCCACCATTGGATAACGCCGTTTGGGAGCGACTTTGCAAGTATAGAAGGCGAAAGTTTGAAAAGGAAATGCAGGTGAAGAATAATGCGCTAAAATTGGCTGATATAAACGCTTTCGTGCAAGTAAGTCAGTTCCTTATAAATTAATGAGGTTGGCTAGTGAAATTTGATATCAGCAACCACAAAAAGATAGATGTCCATTGTTTAGCAGCATCGAAGAACTGTTCCAGATTGAAATTGGCACGTACTACTTTGGTGCCTGTAAGGCTTGTAAGCTCTTTTAGCAACAGAAGGTAGAGGAAAACTGAGCATAGTGCCTTTTTGTCAATCAGCTGGGAAAAAGTATATGCCGTTAGAAAACGCCTGACTATGCTGTTATTAAAAACGCTAAATCCAGTTGGGTATAATCACAGTCACTCCCTGGAATGGCATTTACTTTTAAAATCATTCACTTTCAAGAAGTGATGACTTACTTGTTTCCTGATTATACGGATTATCGTAGTGTAGGGAGATTTTTGAATTTTTTTTATTGGGATTTCGTCTTGTCACTGGGACCAGTTTATTTTGAGAAGCCGAAAAACACTTTACATCTATAAAGCACTACTCATAAGGTTGCTGAAAATCCATCGACAGCCCACGACCGGTTTTGCCCTTCTCGGGGCGTATCAGGTAGGCGCAGTCCCCGAGTCTCCGTCGACCTTATGTTCTACTTGAACCCAAATTGCACGAAATTAGCGAAACACACTCATTTGCGAACTAATTTGGTTTTTGGAGAGATTCACCTGGAACCCAGCTGAATTCCTCGTTTGTGCTGTTGCCAGTCAACTAAATGTGCTGCACCAGGCCGCCTCATATTTCAGTCGCTACGATATTCGAGATATCGCGATACATGTATAGACGTAATACAATACTCATGTGGTTAGAAACCCATCTACAGCTGGGTTGAGATTCACCAACCCTGCGAATCGCAAGAAACTCTGGCGGGTGATGAACCCGTGAATTTTCGGTTAGTGGTTTGAAAACTTAACCGTTCGACTACGAACGGCTGACCAGCAGTGTGACTAAGTCGCGCTTAGAGACAGAATATAGAGCCACTTATCTTTCATTTAGACAGCACACATAATTCTTAATCACACCTTGACTTTAACCGAGTTCCTTAATGCAGCTGTCACACCGTATTCCTGATTCATTGCTGTGGGCGTTTGTTGAAACACTAGTGGCAATGTAGGTCGTGTGTGGACTGTTGGTGTCGGAAGATTCTCTTCAAGATAATGAGTACCAAATATGAGGCCATTTGAACTGAGTCCGCTTCTTTTTCATATGGTTCGGAATTCGTCCGTTTGTGCGTCTTTCAACGCACCCAGTGTCCAGACTGGCTCCAAAAACTACTCTCTCTAGTATGATGCATTTGCAGTTGAATTAACAGTACTAGGTGGTTGTCAGAGCTCTTATGCGTACATCCAGATATTGAAACACTCAACAATTTCAGTTGTTGACAAATGTAGGCAGACGAGTGTGACAGTTGAACAGAACAATCCATAATGTTGTTGAGAGCTCTTCAAACATTTTGTACGAGTGATTCCGCTGGGATTAAGTCGGGTCTTTTTTTAAAAAACAACTTGGTTTGCAAATAAATCTACGTCGCCAAGAGCAACCCAGTGTTTCATGCCTTACATATCACCAGAAATAAGATCACATTCCGTCTTGACCAACCTGATTTCTTGATCCTCGTTCAACTGAACCACTGTAGAGGATACCAACAGTCCAGATCTACGAAGCTGAAGGCAAAACTGACTAGTTTTCTGAGCTGAAATAGGATTGGACGTGTCAGTCATCCTCACTTAGAATAAAAGTATGGCGAATTGCTTTATTAGGGGCTAAGGTGACCACAGAGTTTGAAGTAAATGAAGAAAGATCAATCCCGAAAGATGTGGAGTCTGTTGGAAGCATAGTGGCTAGTGAAATAGTTTTCATCGATAGGACGTTATCTAGGGCGACGCTACGCTTAGAGATTATTTCGTAAGGCTATCAAAGACTAATAGGCCGAAGGGAACTTCAGTCTTCAAATAAAAGCATGCTTTGCGCCTATTTCTGTTCCTGTAAATAGAAAAAACAATTGTTCAGCTGTAACACTGCCTAGCTGCAAGGCAACTCGAAATAAATATGATGTATGAGATTCTCCCGGGTTGCTTAAGCCTAGAAAAAAGCTGTCAAGTTGCAGTGGTTTGGCATGAACTGCGAACCTTCCGTGAAGTAATTTCGTGTCTCAACCACCGAGAGCTCCTGTTGCTTACTGGCTCACGAACCAGGTCACGGATACCCGGAAAAAGTACGGCATTGAACTTTACCCCATTGATAAATAGTTTTTTGCTAATACGAGATGCAAAAACGAGAAATATTCATCCGGAAATTCATACAATCCATTATTTATTGGATAATATAATATGATATGATATGATATGATATAATATAATATAATATAATATAATATAATATAATATAATATAATATAATATAATATAAATATAAGTTGTGGAGGAAAAGCCTAATACTGATATTAGAAATAGGACATTAGAAACATTCTTAATCAGACAGTGTTATGGAGTCAAACCTCCAGCGAGTTTCTTCCTCTTCATAACATTTTCGCGTCAAACACGGTTGTACGAAGTAATGGTCAATAAACTGGTATTGAACGGTAGCTTCATTTGTGTAACTGAATGTTAAATAACAATCGTGGTAAACATTAGTATATTTGGGCGACGCAAAATTCAGGATAGAAAACATTGCTAGGCTTGAAGTAGTTAGTCTATCATATCACCCATCTCAAGCGCTTTTTCAATTTTCAGCATGAAATGAATTCATTGATTCATATTCGGGTGAAATGACTAATTTCTAGAAGAATCTCGTCACAAGGGGTAATCCGGTAAAACTGCAATTTCAGGTTTCAAATGATAGGAGGGTAAGGGGACACCATGTAAGCTAGGAGACCACTCACCAGTGAGAATTAAACGTCGAGGGCATAAGCTTACTCATAAGGTTGCTGGAAACTCTTCGACAGCCCACGACCTTGTGAGTAGTTTCCTTAATGAAAACATACTGCGACATCTCGAATATCGTGCCAACTGAAACATGAGGCGGCCTGTGGTCAGCACATCCAGTTGTAGAATAGCATAAACGAGAGATTCAGTTGAGTCTCTCGTGAAAACCAAATTGATTTGCAAATGAGTGTATTTCTCAAAAACAGTGCAATTTGGGTTCAAGTAGATCATAAGGTTGACGGAAACTCGGGGACTGCGCCTACCTAATTAGCCCCGAGAAGGACGAAGCCGGTCGTGGGCTGTCGAGGAGTTTTCAGCAAACTTGTGATTAGTTTTCTTCATGAGGGCTATTGGAAGTTTATACGAATTCTTGATTGGTTTCATTTTTCTACTACTATCTGCCAATCACTGAAATTGAATAGCGCCGCGAAGAAGAGCTGCGCGCAGTGCGAGCACGTCGAGAAACACTCATCAACAACCTTAATTCCTCGCTGAAAGACTACCATCGAAATCAAACCGACTTGGAGTTACAACTTTTGGTCAAACAAGGACAGGTTGAAGTGGATTTGGTGGAGGGGAATTTGGTGCGTGATTACAGTGACGCACTACTGATCAACCGTGACCAAGTGGAGGAGTTGAATGCACACATTATTAAATTTGGTGAATATAAGGTCGCACATCTGATCCGGAACAAGGAATTCAAAAGACGTTTTTATCATTTGGAATGGTGAGTTGTCAAACATACATAACTGTGTATCTATGTTTGATGCTCGATTGCATCTTATTTACGTAGCAACAAGCTTGATTAGGACGCAGACGATTTCTACCGGACAGGCTGTCTTCTACGTTGCACGAGGTGCACAAAGTAAATTAGCAAATTGAAAGGTGATTTGCGGACTAAAGAGGCAACATGAACGAACAACTTTTGACGGAGACTACCAGCTCTAATGGTATCCTTTCCGTGCTGAAAAGTCAAGAGGCACAGTACAGCTGTTTCATCCTTATTGGGAGTCATTGTCAGTGCGCATCTCACGAAATTTCGAACCCGCGACCTCCCGGCTAGTAGTCAGAACACCTAACCGGTTGACCGCGAGCAGCGAACCATCAGTGCGAGTCACGTGAAAAACAAGTCGATCAACAGGTAACCACTTGCTGCTGAATCCGTCATTGGATAATGGATAGCGCTATATCCGGTCCAAAGGTGGGCTAATTACATTGCTGATCAGCCGACCGGTTAGGTGCTCAAACTGCTGACCAGAAGTTTGCGGGTTTGAAACCCTTTGGAGTTTTTTGGGATGTGCGGTGTTGGTGAGTCTCAATAAGAATGAAACAGCTGTACAGTGCTTTTCGGCTTTTCAGCATAGATTAGGTTCACGAAATCCCCATTAAAATTCCTCAGCCCCGTCCACACTACCAACGAACTAACGAATTTCTGCCGCTTCTTGGACTGGGACAATGTATCAGATGCAGGTTTCCTACACTGTTAGAAAGCTTACTTTCATGTTAGAGGTTTTATTTTTGCTACTCGTAACAAAGGTCGAATACTCACAACCTCGTGCGATTTGTGCTATAAATGAAGATTTACAAGAAGTTATCATACTGTGATTATCATCTTTCTAGCTCGGTTTGATACAACTTTACATGCTGAAATCTAGCATCAGTTCACATGGCTTGCTAACATAGCTGTGAACACTGTGTACGCCGAGTCCGAAGAAAGTTGCAATAGAGCATCCACTTGTCTAATAGTCTCAGCTGAATAGTCAGATTGGAGATAGAAGGAGACCAATCCAACCAACTATTCATACCAATCACACTTTCTGTCCGCCAATCGCCCATGGTCATTCACACTTGGATATGATAGTCACCCGTAGCAATATACGGTTCTTTTTCACCCCAGAGAACAGCTGACCATGGTCAATATACCGTGACAGCTTTCGTCAGGAGTTAGTTTGACTAGCAAATCCGTCATCTGCTTTAATTCTGATTTCTATGGCATCGCCCTCAGCGAATGGCTTTCACTTCCTTATCCTCCGTTCACTTCGGCGCGTAGTTTGTGTGCTGAAAAATTCAACTGAGTTGCTTTGCAAAACTAGCACTTTGTTTCATCGTCTGCATTTTGTGGATTTTAAAGGAGGTGCGCTAACCCCTTTGTTTATAAGCCTGGGTGTCCCTTAATGGAGGCTGTTTTTATTCCTCCCTTTCATAGGTTCGTAATCACAGGCTAGTAACAGGCTATAAAAGATTCTATTGCTTTACTGAAGCAACTGACTGAATATACACTGCCTCTAAGATGAGATGTTAACTGCTCAGTCTTAAGATCTTGTATAGTCGCAATAGCTAGGATGTCCTTAAAAGAAGCGGTTCTATGAACACAGTGGGCATGTGGGCTGGAAATATTTTGTGCCCAACACGGCGTACCGTAAATTGCAGCTGTTTACCGCTCAGATGGAAAAATTAGCAGACAGTTACTGATAGCAGTATTATTTTCGAAATTTATGGCACGGACACCGAGGAATACATCTGGAGAAGAATGAAGCAGGAAATGATCGGTCCTGAGGATATCAGCCATTCAGGAGGAGCAAGTTGTATGTAATAGATGGAAACTATTGGGATGCAATCGATAAGGCGTCAGATTATCTCAACATTCACGGAACGGAGATGGTCACAGATAAACCCTATGGAGATTCATGTTCGGTAGTTAATGGCACGATAACCTACCGGTGGCTTTTCATCGATTAAGACGTGGGTCGTTAATAAGGAAAATAGTTCATTTAATCGCCTCTTTTAAGTGTGCTTGGTCCCTCCTAACAGGGACCATAACTCAGGAAAATTTGCCAGTAAATTGGACTTTACGATTCTGTGCTAAGTTATCGCCAACACCCACTTTCCAGCTTGGTGAACATTAGTGATTCAAGGTCATTGGGGATTGTCTACAGTCCCATTATCCAGGTACAATCCGCACTGAGCTTTGTAAACTTCTTTAAGTGGCACAAGGGTGTAGTCTCTTACACATCTGTAAGTTCCTTAAAACTGGCTCACAAATTTGATTACAACAGAACTGACTGGATAAAAAAGTTGTGGGAAATTTATTTTTTCAAGTGATCCTGTTTAATACTCTTTCTTTTACAGGGAGCTTCGACGAATGTTAATGCAATATGAAGACGTTCAAACTAAGCTAAACGATATTCGCAAGTTTAAAATCACGAGGGAAGTGCAGAAAGTGAGTATGCTTAGACTAATTCTCACAATCATTCACCATGGTTTTAGTACTTGCAAACGAATGATTACGATGGGATGATAAATGCCCAGGTTGTTACTTTGGAGCATACCATGAACTTAATGCGTCAGGTGAGTTGCATTACAATTTCCTCAGACATTGCTAATTGTTTTTGCATTTAGTTGGATTCTCGGTATTCGTTTTGGCCCCGTTACATGGGATGAACTGAATCGAAACTAACCTCACCATGGATCACGTGTTACGTGATGGTCATGTACATGCTAAGTCTATGTGTCTGTCCTGCACCCTAATTAGAACCCGGGATAAAACTTTGGCCACGTCATTTTCTAAACACAACTTTGATTTCAGTTGAGGATGTCTAAATTTTTTCCAGCAACTGCGAAACGCAAGACGGAGTTAGGTCTTTTTAACTGGGAAACCGAAGTAAGATCAAAGAGCGACTAGCCTGGCTTTCGCATCACAATAATTACCGGTCAACAGAAGGTGCGATTTCGTGTGAGGATCGCAACACATAACTGTTAGTTGGAAAGGAATAAAGGGGCGGAATTTTCTATTTTCGGCCTTTTATCCACGCAGCCCGGCACGGACCCCGATACCGTAGAGGTACCTACTTGAGTTCGTCCGAGTTCCGCTTGTTAAGATCCCGGCACCGCATAATCATTTTCGGTCAATCAGCGGGACACCTGAGTTCGGTAGCCGGAGCGGTCACGCAGTTTTGTCGTGGGTACGGATGATGATATTCTCCTGTTTGTTTTGTGTAGGAGAGACAAAGAACATTCCGGCAGTGTTCTTTTGACACAGCTTATATGTTTGGGTGAAGTTAGTTACACAGTCTCAAATGCTTATCTGTCAACCGTTTTAAAGATGCCTGCGCGCTCAAACGATACTGTTTTGCTGTAAGGCAGTCATTATGTAACTCAGTGTTGGATCGATGCATTTTCTAACATTTAAAATACAAAGACGGTGGAAGAGACAAACCTGGTAAAATAAACGCAACATGTCAAAAAAAACTTGGTGCACTGTCATAAATGTAGTGCAATCACATCCTATACAGTCACAACCAGATTGAAGTTGGTTTCCTAAAACTCACTTCTGGCGCCCAACTGCGGACATGTGATCCGTATGATATCAATCTCCCAGTATACCGCTCTGAAAACTCATCTGATTAAGCCAGAATAAATAACAGAGTTCCAGTACCCAATATTTACTAGCACATCAAACAACCAAACCTATATTGTATTCTCTTGCGGTATCGAAAGTTCAGGATCACGAATCAAAGGGGATATTAGTAAACAGAATGCGGAAAATTAACTCTCAAACTTGTCTCTCAGGCAAATTTGATAGCCTTCTTAACGTAAACTCTTCCCCTCACTTTCCAAGACACATGCAAAAGCTATGGAACAGAAAAGAAGACGTTTGAGACGTTATCAGGAGGTCCAAGGAGAAAAACTGAAAGCAGAAAATGAAAATTTGAAAACCGATCTGAAAGAACTCAATGTGGAGCTTCACGAAACCAAATTCATCCATGATCAAAATCGTAAGTTCAGGCTTCATTCATCCTGGCTGAAGGTGGCAAACTGGTTGACAACTCAGGATGATACTTGTGGTGATTGGCTTGAAGAGAAGGGTGGGACTGTTCAAATGTGCCTTTATTCACCTCCTAAATGTGCTCTATAGGTGACTTGCTATGATTAACTAGGTAAATTTCGTACAATTATGTCAATTAAGTTCCATAATTCACGTGGTATTACAGCACTACGAGTCAAGTTTCGCATTCCTGTGGGAAATGAAACTTTCCAGGGAAAATAAATATATCAGTGGCTAAACGAAGCAAGAATCCTTGTACCACTTGATGTTTGTTTCATCATGAGTAATGCCATTACCTTACAACCACAGAGATTTGCTTTCAACCACCTCCTATTTTGTAGGCTGCGTTGGTACAAAGCGACCCACAGGACCTCCAAGATACAAATTGCTGGTGCAACAACAGAGACTGATGCAGTTGGCCAACGAGCAAGCCAAAGAAATCAAAACCCTGCGCAAACAATTAGCACAGCTGCAAGAGCAAAAGAAGCTTCTCCGATGAAGCGGCTACTAGAGATTCAACTGGCCCATCATCCCAAAGGCGATATGGCGGGGAAAGTCGCATATTCTTTAATATCCCGAATGCACTGAAGAAACCTTCTCTCTCAAATGTGATAACTACGTATACAATATAGTAACGAGTTTGACTATGTCTTATTTGGCGAGGACGGGAAATAAAACCGGACCGAGAGTGAAACGGCGTATTCAGATTATACTTAGATGACAGTTTGCACTGTAAAAAATGTGAACAGAGGCAAGGCCACTCGCACGATAATGCATGGCCTAATTTAAGCTTGCTGGAAAATTTGAGAAGAATAAAATTCGATTGGCTAAACAACTGACGTATGGTATGTTGCCCTCTTATTTTAGTGCACTCTGTTTGTTACGTGTGTCTGTGGCCATCACCAATATCTCCAGCTTGATCCGGGTACACTGCCACATGCTAATTTATGCTTGTCCAATGCAACCGATAAGCGGAATACTTCGATTCAGTGTAGCTGAAACATTCCTTCACGAGTTGGACAAAGCTCTCATGTGTCATCGAAAAATGTTGGCATAAATAATAAAACATCGCCCGAGCAGTTAGAAAATGCCGAAGACATCTCCAAAGGTGGGCTGAGAGATATCCTGTACCGTACAGGTTTTTGCTCTGTATCTACTCCTACATTACTGACTGCCTGATACGCTAACTACTTACCGGAGAAACAAAGTCCCCATCAGATGTGAGCACTTCGTTCAGATGTAGCACCCAGTCGGTGCCCAAATACCATACCGCCAGAAAGATGCACGAGAACTGGGACACTGCCAGGTTGCCAAAACCTAGACAGAGAATGTGAGCACTTACATGAAAGTGACTAACCACAATGTGGAGTATGCAATTAGAATAGCAAAACAGTTGCGAGCTCATGGAGGATTATATCACCTGCTGAAGCGCCAGACACGTTGGAGACGAGTAGAACTAGTTAACTTTCGAAACTGTTAATTTCCGCAACAGCTCACTTGAAGATATTGGTGTCATCCAACCTTCTCATGCCACTCACAAAAGCAAAATTAAGTGTTTGAATTTGTCGCCCAAGCAGATTCTGAGGCGAACTATGCTGTATATTCGGTTACGACGGAGCGTACAGGAGTCTGATGTTGATACTAAGACAGATTGCGAGAGCTTATGTCGATGAGCTGATGTTCCGTTAGAAAAGAGAGTCGTTTCTTGTTTAGTGAGCCTAGCTAACTGAAAAGCTTTGCTTAAGCGTTGAAATCTTGCGGATCTAGCTTTTATTTGTACGGGAGTAGGAGGGGTCATACAAGTCGCACAACCGAAGAAGTAACATGAGCTGTCATTTTGGACTATCAGCAATTTCAAAATCATTTCTTGTGAAGTTTGTTGATAAATTCCTGCACCTCCCATCAACACTAGATAAACCTCACTGTTCCAGTGAGTTTCATCCAGGCGAGGATGTGATTCAACGTAACCCAGATAAATTCAAGTGAGAAGCTGTCTATCTGGCTTCCAAATGGTGGGTTCAGCCCTGCCGGCGATAAATAAATCCAAAGCTTGGACCTAATTATTAACGAAAGGCTAGTGATGCTACTCAAGAAACTACCCACTTCTGTCGTCACTTTGAAAATCAGTAAGTTTCAGCACTTTATAGTGCATCATCCAGTGTTGGAGCTGAGTGCAAACGTTGTTTTTATCATCATCATCATCATCATCATCATCATCATCTGTGAGAACAGCATACTTATCGTACGGTGGTTATGACTGCCACAGTTTCGTTCACCGATGACTTGGAAAGCTGGGGTAGGTAGCTGAACTGATGACTGGACACGCTTTGGCTAATGCAGTTTGGAATCGCAATTGTATGCGTATCATTAAGGATAAATCAGGTGTGCCGCGCTGCTCGATTTAAGGCTTGGTCAACAGAGAGGGACACAATCCATAATGGTATTGATATACGAATCACGATTTTCAGTTCGGATCAACCTTAAGTTTATCAACTTGGCAAGTATACCTTGAAAATGGATTCAGCCATTAATATTTGATGGTCAACGTATGGGTAACCTTCTCCTGATGCTTGACTGTGAGGGAGAATACTGATGTGCATGGAAGTCCCTGGAAAGACTAATCCTTTCTCAAGTTATATTTACTTTCCATTAGTGTGGTACAACTTAAAATGTACTCCTTTCGTCTTCATCTCAATTATAACAGTTAATAGGACTTTTCCCACACGCTTCTGCCTCCTGTAGGCTACTGTCTGTTTGTGGTGACAGTTATTTCATTAACGAATTTCCCTCAGGGAGAACCATAAATCTGTGCCCAAATCACGTCCAGTTCTTTTTTTTTCTGAACAACTTCTCCAAGGCGACACTGGTCATGAAGACAAGTAAATCCCCACCCCCTACATAGGCACGGGTGAAATCGTCACGTTCCTTCTTCAGCATCAAGAAGTCCAATGTACAGTACTGCTGGAAAAAACGGTTGTTGGTGGTTTTCTTCCAGAATCCCCATCCATTCAGCCACGTGGCATACGTCAAGTGTGTCTTCCTATCCCACCAAAGAACGATAGGTTGAGAGTCGGAGATGGGAAGGACGCGTGCAAGTAGACACACCTACAGAAAGCAGCAATTCCAGTTGATCAAAAATTCATATGACAATCAATCTTCCGTACAAATACTAACCTATAGAGAAAGACCAAAACTTGTTCACATTCGGATTGCTTAAGTCTCTGCCTCCGCTGTTCAGATCTACTGGAATGACAGACATATCGTCCCCTACGTTTTAACGATCTGAGGAAAACTGCGATAGGAGGCTATGGCTCACCACTCGGTCTGCATCCCTGTGTGCGCGTGCGTGCGTGCACAACTTAAACCAACCATAGAAATTAAATATTCATGGGAGCAATGAGGTGGGACGGTGGAAGGTGTGTGGAAGTGCGCACGTGTATATGCGCCCCTTAGAACCGGTTCGCATCCTACCTACGCCTGTTTTGTGTCGAAAAAGGAGGGAGGAACACGCAATTTGTGTGTTTATTATGAGAATTGGCATGACTCCCTGATGTCCGTGACAAGTAGTTCTCAAGAATCTGCCTGACGAATCTGGAGTGTTGGAGTTATATACTCATTTGCAAATTGACTGGAGACTCAACTGAAATGCGGATGCATCCCTTCTCTCTCTCTGAATCTCTCAACTGATTCCACTGCACAAAGTCATCATTTTTCCAGTTGGAACAACATTCAAGATACCGGAGTATTGTTCTTGACATAACATTATGAGTTTTCATCAGACTTGTAATTATTCATGCGCCAATAAAACTGCAAACAGGCTACTCTGATGATACGTTTTGTTCAATCAGTCTGTGGTCAGTTAGGAAACTGTCTTACATAATGTTGTGTTTGCTTTTGAAGACTTGTCTCATTCGGCTCATCCTAACTAGTCTTCTAAGTAGACCTAATAAGCATCAAGACACGAGCATGAAAGCGGCCCCACTGTGAGGTCAGTTTGGTACGGTTTGACCTGGTTTGCCAATTCACCGTCGTGTTCTAGACAGTGTGGTTCCTATTGTAACCGGCTGTGAAATAGGCAGTTTAGTCGCCGATGAATAGCCGAGTTGTTTAGGAGGACTAATAACCGATTTTCCGAGTCAAATGTTTGGAATCTGACTCGTAGGTGGGTCCTACCTCTCCCACCGAGTTTCGTCAATTGGGTGAAAATGCAATCAGTCAAGTGACCCAGCCGCATTTCCCTTAAAGCAACCAAGGCCCCCAAATCAGCATGGTCCCTAAATACAGTCAATAAAATGAGGGTAGTTTGGTCTCAAGGATTGACCGCAGTTAGCTAGGAAGCTAGGAGGGTTTCGATGCTTGACTCTAAAATAAATTTCGCTAGCGAAGTAAGGTCGTTAATCAAACTATTCTCTGCATTAACTCTATCGCGGGTGGCGCTATTTCACTACTGTAATTTACTGGAAGGTTGGGAATTGGTATTTATGAATGGCCCCATATTCATTTTCCGTTGACACCGAACGGAACAAACGTAATTCCTGACATCGTAAACCAGTATCAGTAAGCCGGAAAAGTAGTGCTTCAAAGAGATCACCGGCATGCGGTGGAAACCCGCAGTCATTGAGTTCTCATTGTAAAACTGAGCTCTGTCAACCGGGGGGTAGGTACCTAATGGTCCATTAAATGGGCTTTTAAGCTCAATAGCATAAATATAACGATTAATCCACCGAACCTGTAATCCGCTGGTTGGACTTATAAGGATATTTGCTGTTTGTTAGAACTATACACTCAAAGTTATAACCTGGTGAAGTTTGTGTTAGAAAAATAAAATAAATAGCTCCCAGCTCTTAAGGTGGACTTGTACAATCACGAATGGGGACTTGGTTGCACGCAATGCAAATGAGAAATTCAGATACCCCTTAAAGAAACTCGAACATGCCACCTCTCACTTACCAAATGGGTTGTCTCGAGTTCGAGTGTGTCTTTCATTTTGTGTTGTGTGTTGGTTGGTCTAACATGCCTAATAAATTTAAACCAATGTGCTTTGGATTTCTGGGCGATATCGAATTCAGACCCGATCCGGAACTCACGCAAAAGGTTCATTAATGGCAGAAGTGAAGAGACTCAATGTTGCATTAAAATGCGTACGCAACATGCAATAGCGTCCGCGTTAAATCGCTCCATAGAGCCCAAGTTTGGCAAACAGTAGATCAAGCGGCATTCGTCTTTTTGTCTGTGCTTATCTGTAACCCTAGCAAAGATTATGTCAATCCAAAATCCTACATCAGTTTTCATAAAAAACGAAAGACAAAAACTGTCCAGCCATTTCTGCTTTTGTTTAGTTTCTCGGCCGGTTTTATCAGGCGGGCGCGCTCCCCTAGATTCCGTCAACCTTATTTACTACTTGAATCTTAATTGTTTGAAACTTGGGAGGCATACTCATTTGCACTCCACTTTGGTTTCCAAGGGAGACCCAACTGAATACCAGCCAAATTTCTGGTTTGTGACATTCTTTAACTGGATGTATTGCACGTCGGTCATCTTATATAAAAGAACAGCGCAGAACCGGTGGAGAACTCTTGAACAGTAGAGCTTGAAATTGTTTCGAGAGTATAACCTCGCGATCAAATATGATTTACATATGGAGCGCCATGTAGTCTGGAGGGTCTTCCTTGAGTGTTTTTTTTAAACATTTAATTTTTAATCGTCATCTGAAACAGGCTTTCACTGGTATCTTTGACGGAATTCAAGAGATAGAATGTAGAAATTCGAAAGTGACTGCTTGCTAAGCGATGTACCGATTATTCCACTGCTTGGATTCGTCTAATGAACCTGTAAGATCTCAGAGGAGAGTAATTTGATGACAAGCACAAAACATGACCTAGTAACGAAGCTGGCTGGAATTATCATACCTTTCTTTTGACTGGTGGGCATATCAACAAATACAGAGTTACAAACATAGGTTTATTCTATCAAACTAACAGTCTGTGGTGGGTTTTCCTCGTCTCCATTTTACCATCTGTTGTTCAGAGGGATCACACAGAAAATCTGAATGAAACAATTGTTGAGATCTAGTTTGCAAAGCTATATAGTCAGTCACACGTGAGTTGACGGCCTAATTTGACTTGATTCTGTATGTATATGCGCTGTGCTTCCAAACATAAGCGTTCAACTCGCTATGAATTGGGTTAAAAACCAATTTTTACGTGACTGGTTTGTCTTTGTTGGGAACTGTTTGGGAGTTGATTTGACGAACCGGAAGATTTGGGCTTTAAATAAAAATGATTTATTGGATCAAGATGGAATCTAAATACTACTCGACTTCATGGTGGTCTGCTGTCACATGACGCTGTTGGTAGTTTGACTTGGGGCGTAATACTCAGCGGGAAATTGACGTGAACACAATAATGAAACTTTTTCTGGAACCCGTTCCACTTTAGAGGTAGGCAGACGAAATGGATTCCGGCGTACGTCACAGCGGAACGCAAAAAACTGCATGGGGTCTAAATCTTTCTGAGTGAAAGGTTTCTGAACCACTTTTGGGGGAGCTGCACGCAAATACGGTGATTCCTTTCCATAGAAAATCGTTTTCAACATAACTTCCTGCACGGTATGGATTCAAAGAGAGCTCCACCAAAGAAAGACTGCAGCCCAGAAAATCAAACTCCGTATCACCCAACAACCAACGCTGAATGAAGCGAGCATTCATTTTCGACCTGATGAGACAGAGTCGAGACATTCCATTATTAGTTGGCAATGGAGGTTTCATCATGTAATTGAAACATACATGCGCCGAAGCACGCTGAGAAGCACGGTACAGCTGTTTTATTAGCAGTGAGCATCGAACCCACGACCTCCAGGTAAGTAGTTTGAAGACTTGACCTTTCGACCACGAGCGACTGATCAGCAGTGTAGTTAACTCACGTTCAGGTTATAGCGCCACCGATCCTTCAATCACGGAAGCCACATAACGTGGTCACTTGTTGATCGCTTCCCAGATGAAAGTTTCACATTAAAAACTAAAAGTGACTGAGCTGTTTCAGAGCTAACTAGGTGCAGCCTTTATAACTCTATCCCCTTATTTTTGAAGAGTAGAAGCGTTTTAGTAAAATTCGATATCGTTTAAGTACCATATGTAACGTCTGGAAAATGTCAGTTCAGACTCCATGAGAGGAACCACTCATAAGGTTGCGATTTCATTGAGTCTCCCATGAAAAACCAATTGTGTGCAAAGTCGTTTGCTGTTCTCTGAACACTGTTTGCCTACTTAGGCCGATTAATCCTTGTCCCCTTATCGGCGGATGAATCTTTTAATAAGATCGTTCTGTTGCACTGTGCACCACGTGGTAACGATAAAAGCCAAGAAGTTTTTGAAGTGTACTACGTTATACCTTGATGTAAACGTACCAGTTTGGTTCCGAAACAAAGGAAATGGGTCTCAAAATATCAAAAGTGAATCTTAAGGGAACCGACTGGCAGCAGGTTGACTGTCACAATGGCAAGCAACGCTCTCCTATAAGTTTAAAATTTTCTGTTAAATTCCACTTCTTCGTACAGCGGCCGATAAGACTGATGTATGGCAAATTGGCGCTTTTGGTGTTGTAGGGTTATTCCCCCACATAGATCGATAGAGAATATCCCTTGCAGGAAAAAACGGTTTCGGTTGGTTCTATGAGCGCTCCACAGGGCAGTGAAGCATCAGTGTTAAACACTGATGTCATGCCGTCGATGATGATGATGATGAGCGCTCCATCCAGCAGGAGTTCACTGCATCATTATACTTCTCGATTCAGCCTTGACAACCCCTTTTTATTCGGATTCGGTTAAAATCCCCGTATGCTTGGATTCTTTTGCAAATGATGATGAGATGAGCGCTCCATCCAGCAGGAGTTCACTGCATCATTATACTTCTCGATTCAGCCTTGACAACCCCTTTTTATTCGGATTCGGTTAAAATCCCCGTATGCTTGGATTCTTTTGCAACCGTTGATGGTTAACATAAGGTATAGAAGGGCAACAGCCCTGTATTTAGTGACAGTAAGGCAGTGGATAATCTGTTCGATATTCTTGTGGATTATCAAGGGACTGCTGCAAGCAAAACTTAACACTGGATTTTTGCAACAGAAGTGCGCGCTCATGCAAACTGGTACAAATTTGTATACATCCTGAATATGGATCCACTTACATATAAGTAAACGCAAAGACAAGGTCGTAGACGATACGTGAACCTGCGTGATCTCACTTACTGGGCTAGTGCTTCACGAGGTGCGCTACGGGTCAATGACTTTACTTTTCTGCCTGCATCATATGCATCAAGGTCCATATTCAAGAACTTCCAAATTTCCGTCCTTTCCACATTTATTTCAAAATATTTCGTCCCAACAGAATGGTCACCTTCTGTACTGAAACTTTGGCCCGTGTCACAGGGATTCAAACGCTTTCCGTTCAAAGTACTGACTAATTTACATTTTTCCGCTTGAATAGTAGACTTGAGGGTAAAGTAGGAGACTAGGTAGGTAGTTTCTGATTTCGGCTGAAGGTTTGGTACTCCGTCTGATATCCGCCTCAGCACATGTCTTATCAACCGCAATTTTCAGCCCACATTTCCACCTGCAGATTTTATATTACATAGTACCAACGCGACGGAAGTAGAATCAGCTCAAGGTAAACACTGCGAAGCCAAACAAGTTCGAAAAATTGCTTTCCACGAGTCGCTGTTCTAGCCAACCAATAGGAAAGAGTAAGCCATCTGTTAGCTATTGTAGCGTAGTCAGTTTATCAGATATACCCTTAAGTGACGAAGAACGTGGCCTGTTAGAGAAAGGAGTCATAAGAGCAGAACGGATCATTCGTAGTGTTGAGTGTGTATTTCAGCAGCTTCCTTCAAGTGCATATGCAGCCGGTCAAGGTCCTGAATGCCCAGCAACCAGGGGTTCCACCAACGGAGCGAAGAGTCTTAAACAACTTGAAACTTGTAAACAGGTATACAAGGGTAAGACCACGGTGGTCATGAATAAGAAAGACAATTTATAGAGAGTTATACAAAGCTTGGGGTCTTAAAGACAAATTAGCAACGAGGCCACTACGACAGTACTGAATGGGGTTGAAGTTGGAAGGTACTTAAGATCGGTGATAAACGACCTGGGGCAAGGCAAGTGGTATTGATTTTACTCAAAAAATGCAATTCAACCATAACTTTGTAGGCTGCCGAAAATTCACATGGAAGGTGTCTCCATAAGACCAGTAGTGGATGGTAGGGGTTCACCACATCAACTGGACAGATTTCTGGCAGGTATCCTTAAACCACTTGCCGGCAAGTCCATCACACATCTGAAATTGTATCACTTTGCTAAAAAAGTAGCAGGGTTTCAGTTGGAGCTAGACGAAGCTCTTATGAGCTTTGACATCTATCAATACCTTTAAAGCGGACGCTCTGGAAGGAGCAAGACGGTTGTTAATGATAGACACGACGCTGCAAGAACGAAAGCAACTCTCCGTAGACGAAATGGTTGAATGCATAAAAATGTGTTTAAAACTCAGTCACTCTGTTTTTGACTGAGACATATACTCTCAAGAACAAGGGATCTTCAGTATAGCCGAAGACCTAGAACAGAAAGCTTAAGAAGGATTCGAGTGTCTATCGAGGGCTTTCCGGTGTTAAGTAGATGACATGTTCATTGTGATAAACCGTGATAACCCTAACGAATTCTTTCAATATCTAGCATGGAGCCAAAGTCCACATCGGGCACACTACCCTTCCTTGTCTGCATGATGCACAAGAATGGTGGGAAATGAAATCAACAGGAAATCAACAGGTAGTGGTGCGGTCTTAAACTACTTCTCAACACAACCAAAAGCAGCATATTCTAGTATAGTTTCAACGATGCTTAGTAGAGTAAGAGCACTGAGCACAGAGGAGATCGACCGAAGAGCGGCACAACTTGAGGTAAAAAAAGCGACTTCAAGATAGCGGACAGTGGGTTTCATTAGGCGGCAACTAAGACGTGCGTTTATCCCGACACCAAGATCTAACAAGGAGTGGTTCGGAACAGCAGCCATCTCTTACAAAACAGGGATATCTGAAGTCACAAGAAGTGTGCTGAATACGGCCAACATTAGAGTAGCCTTCCAGAAGGGAAAGACCACGCTCAGTATTGGTGCAGTTGAAGGATCCTATCAGGAAGGTCAGATTCTTGAAATTAACCTCAGAACGCCCAGAACCTACTGCTCCACCAAAATATCAACAGGAAAGTCGGCAAGCATCCAGGTTAGTCAATCATTCAATCAATTCAGCAAAAGCCAATGAGTCTTCATGCACACCACAGAAGCACGACCGAATGTGATCAGCGTTCAGGCATTTCATGGAGGCACGATCGATGATGACGGGTGTTCACCAACGCCTATCAGACAGCCTGGATCAATGTCAGAAAGCCTCCTTTAAATAGCATGGGGCCATCATAACTTTTGCTCTCGCACGCACTCACTCGCTTGTTCGGAATACAGCTGCATTGTTCCCTTCTGTGAGTCTTTTTTCAGGTACTGGGCACTTGAGCGGGTCAGCAGCAGATACCACATATTGGCGAATCAGCAGATATAACAGATCCCTTCCCGTGGATTAAACTAGGGACTGTATATATAAAATAAAGTGTACCGACTGTACGAAAGTTCATATAGGTCATACAGCCAGGGAATTGCACACCAGAGTCGGTGAGCATAAGCGATGCATTACCAGACCACTGAGAAACGTAGACGAATATCAAGTGATAGTCAAAGTCTCGGCAATGGGCATGCATTAAACACTGGATAGATTTAGAAAATGTAGAAATTCTGAAACGGGGACTAAGATCCACTCCACAGCGACTGGTGGCCGAGGCGGTGGAAATCGCCAAGTATCCTAGCGTGAATAGGATAGAGAGCGTTTAACTGGCAAGTGTGTGGAGAGCAGTTTTAGATCAGCCGAAATGACACGAAGCAGTGCGCAGCTATCGGTAAAATGGTCTGGGTCTAAGAGTACAAAATCAAAGCAGAGTGAGATCCACTTAACCACAAACCTCAATCCCAATCCAATGGTCCTGGCATCCCTCAATAAACACCGACCAGCAAAATCTGTGAATTTTCCACTAAGGTATCCCAAACCGGAAAAGCAAGGCCGCCAATTCCGGATTCAACCTGAAGACAATCCTTCTCAATCAATCTGTCGAGTTAGTCATCCCCACTAACTTCAAACCGACATTCAGCACTGATCAAGTCATCAAAAATTTCAAGGATTAGTATCCCGACTACCTTAAATCCCGATCAGCCTTACTCACTTGGCCCGGCAAAGCTTTTGTATCAAAGGCGCGGAACGTTGACCAGAATTAATCCACCGATTGTTTACCAAACCCCATTGAAAAATATGACTATTTAATCGGTCTCAAACGTTTTCCGATTGATTAAAGACATTATCTTGTTACAGGTGCTCCATTTCCCTACGGTAACTAAAGACCTGGATAAATTGCGATGCTATCGTAACTAAAAGAGTGAGATCAACAGTATCTATATTGCGTAAAATTTAGTTCAAAGAGTTCAGTAAAACTATTTGGCCGAAAGCTCCATATCAGTGTTTTTTCTAGAAAGGTTCCATGTGCATCCGTTCGGAGACAGACCACGTTTATACCATTTATCGCGACACCAAGTATTTCCGTTTGTTTACTGATAATCCGGCTATCTCATGAACTATGCACCTTACCCACTGTTCACTACAGTTAACGAGGTTGAAAGCCATTTTCAGTTGTCTAAGTGAACATCACCACGTTAGCATCGTAATTTCTTTGCAAAACACAACCAACGTACTCATTGAAAAAAGACTGTATAGCAGTTCTCAACAAATGCAACTTCAGACACGATTTGATTGGTGGTGCAATAATCCCAAAGTCGAAAATTTCATTCTTTTCTGTTTTTGCCTTTGATTACAAAACCACACTCGGACTACATTCTTCTTGAGGTTGAGTTTTTCAGCAATCTGTGCTATCTTTTCTGAGGATGGCCTTGGTTGGACGCTGAAGAAAGCTTCCAGAGAACGCTTCTCTGAATCTGTAATTGATGTGCGCTTGCGACGCTTCTCTTCCTCGGGGTCGTAGATTTCCGGATGTCGCAGTTTTTCTGCTGCTTCTGCCTCGGCTTCTTCTAGCCAAGCTTGAAGAACTGGCTTCAGGGCCACCATGTTGTTATGCGAAAGTGTAAGGGATTCGAAGCGACAGATTGTAGATTGAGATAAAGAACCTACGCCAGCAATTTTCAGATTTCCCAATGCCTTGCCCACATCCGCCTGGGTCACACCCAATTTGATACGTCTTTGTTTAAAACGCTCAGAGAATGCTTCCAAATCACGTGGATTATAATCGGTTTCTATCGGTTGCGGCTGAACCAGACTATTCACACTACGGTGTCCAAACTGTCCGGCACCCATGCTGAGCATGTTTGTCGAACCGAAGCAGGTACGTGTAGTAGCAACTGGTGTTTGGTGTGGATTCGGTTGGGGCACGAGAGCTCCCATCTGCGGCTGAAGCATGTGGTAGTTCAAGTTTGTTTGGAAATTGTTTACCATCGCCGCGGCAGCTGCCGCATTTGAATCCGTGTGATACTGTAGGAGAGGTGTGTAGTTTAAGTTTGTCGGTGAATGTCCAAACGCACCTTGGGAATCCAACTGATAGTGTGGTTCAAAATGAACGGAATAAGGGTTTCCACAATGTGAAGTCTGTGGGAGCATTTCGCTGGGTTCATGAAATAGGGACGGAGATAAACTGTATGGGTTGGCAAAAGTAGATATTATCCCCTGTGAAATACAAGGTAGTAGACCGGGTGTTGGGCTCATATCCGAACTGGTTGAATTGTCACAGCCTCTACGCCACTCGACATTTCCTTTCCCCTTTGCACCATTTGTATGGGTTCCAAACCACTCAGGGTAAAACCTGTGAGTACTTGAACGATCGCACTGAAAACCAGACCTCTGATGTAGTTCACAATCAGTTCCGTTGGGAAGTGTAGGACCAATGTCACTCTGACGGATTAGTGCGTCGCCTAGGTTCTTCGTTCTTTCCATCATTGGAAAATAAGGTGGACTGTCATTATGTCTATTTTCTGCTTTGTCGTCAAACTGATTAGTGATTTCTGTCTGTTTGGCATTGCAACTATCACAGCTGACACAAGGAAGCCTTTCAAGACCGGTGGAAGAGGAACAGCTCGAATCCTCTTCTACCTTCTGGCCGCTGAAGTTTTGGGGACTAAACTGGAAAGAAGCAAGACACCCATCACCTTCTGTGTTGTGGTTGTAATTGGAACAGTGCGGTTTGGATAGTTGTTGGGATAAAAACGGGTAAGTTCCGGCACTGCCTGGCACTGAACTCGTATGCTTCAAACCACTCGGGTGTGGCTCAATCATCACTTGCCTACTCAGTATGGCCTCTGTTGCACTTCGAATATCATGTTGGTATACTCGTTCAGCTAACTGGCGTCTTGTATCATTCGCATGAAGAAAACAATCATAGGTTTCTTCTGAATGTAACTTGGACGACTGTGGGGCATCAGTAGCCAATGGTGTAGACGATCGAAACCGTTTCAATACCTCTGGTCGACTAGCTCGTTCTGGAGAGGAAAACAGTATCGGCCTCACAGAGCTTTGTTCCAACTGTTTGTGGTGGACCGGATATGGCTGTTCTTCGTGGCTTACGGGAAAATTACTACTGATATCTTTCGCAGTAGGTAAAACTGTGTTGTAGGCCAAACTTTCGTAGGGGCAAGATAGATTCGAACCGTTAAGCATTTGACCTCCATCTGTTTCAGCAGTATCACAAAATGATCTGTTAACTGACTGGTTCAGAACAGGATTGATGGGATAATAGGCTGCCGACTTTTCGTCACAGTTTCGGTAGTTTCTGGTGAAATTTTCATAGTCACTGGCAGAGAATGTCTTGAAATCTGGAGCCAGTCGATCTGCTATAATACTGTTTCGTCTTTGACGTGCTCCGTCGATTGCACGCAATTTAGTTGCGGAATGGGACGAAGTTGAACTGAATAAACGGTCAAACCACTGGTGACTGGCTATGGCCAACAGAGGATTCAAGGTTGGTGGTTCGTACATAACCGCAGAATCTTCAAGAGCATGAGATTCATGACAACTGGATTCTGTGCTTGCCTCGCACCGATCTTTTGTGTTCGTAATTTCCGATACCAGCGGACCACGTGACCGAGAACTACTCCTGTCGGACGAGTTAGACGGAACTTCGGAACCGTTGAATTCGTTGGATGGAACCTCAACTCGTTCACCAAGTGTGGTGACCGAATCATCCGGATAATCCTTAGCGCGAGTCAAACAACCGGAAAACGGGACAGCAGGTACCACGGCCATCTGGTCTCCCGTAAAAAATTGGTTTTCGATGACCTCGAACTATGGATTTTCTGTCAACAGAAATGAACGAACATGAACGCAAGTGGCAATAGTGGCAAAATTGATGAAATGGAGAATGCTGAAAAACTCTCATCCGAACGTGCTTACTTCGTCAAAGATCATTTCCCAAATCTCGCACAGGAGTTAAAATCGAGCATTGTCTGTAGTTGGAACAAAAATGTATTTGTTTCCTGAGACGAGCATTGCAAATAACCAGTTGACATTTTCAGACCGCCCTCGTGAATAACGTCAAGAAATCCAAACTTTTAGTCATATGACTGACTAACTGAAAAACCGTTCACTCCATGCATTCGTATAATGTTAACGTAGAAGAACCATTCATTTAATGCTAAGACTCGAAAATCAAAGCAACTTGGTAGCCGGCTCTCCTCATGCGCGTAAACGCTTCCTGTAACTATAGCTGACTTGTGAGATTCGCTAGAACCATATGTTTCGTTTTAAAAGGTCAAGAATAATAACATCCGGTTTCCACATAACGCCCGACAGTTATTGAGATCATCAAATTCATTCCTATTCGAAGTTTTAGAAGGATCGTAAGTTGGGGTATTCCAAATGCTCAGACAATCAATGCTCTAAAAATGATTTAGATTCATGTAAAACAATCCAAATGTAATAATGACAGGCAGAAGTAAACGTTGTGAAAAGTAAATAAACAAACGGATTAGACAATAATACAGCTTAGGAACTCTTAATCGATTGTGGTTAACGTTCAAAGCTTCAAAACAAGCCAGCGTAGGATTATTAAACTTTTTAACGGATCAAACTGGCTGTTGAACACTGTTGCTTTTAACAAGCATACGCCTCAGTCTTATGATTTCGTGGGCACATACACAAATATCAGACAGTCTGTTGTATTTATATATGTACAAGGGTGTATTTCGCTATGGAGAATCTCCTAGTTTTGTGGTTGGAAGTCAGTGACGAATATTTACCATGGGACTGAAAAGAATGAAAAAGCATTTTTCTATTTAAAACTTCAAATCCAAGTTGATTTCGTTTAGTAAGTAAAAATCAGGTGGAAAAATCACGATTCAACGTGGCATCGTCTCACTCCGCGCTGCCTGAAAGATGAAGTCATTCTTTTCCTCCCTGGTATCGAGTGTGAGACTGTCTTGCAGGCATTTGATCGTCAAAAACACTTGTCACATTTGTTGTCAGAGATTACGTATAGAGAGAGAAGGCTATTCTAAGTCCAGGTGAGTGGAACCACGGAGGTACAAAGTTCCTGTACACTTCACTGTACATTACGAAAAACGTCATCTTTTGGAGATAAATATTTGAGGATGTCCTGAGAGGTGTTAGTATTTCGCGTTTAGTTTGGAGTGGCACTGATACCGTTCTGTATCTTTTCAGGGAGTAACATGATGCTGGAATGCTCTCTGCAAATAAATTTGATGATGTTGTCAGAGACCAGTCATTTTGGCTCATAAAGTTTAACAATTTTAGAATCCTGCTTTGTGCGAAGACTAAAAAATCAAGATGGCAGTAAAAGAATTTCGCACACCATGATAGCGTCTTTTGTAAACCGACAAGAATGAATAAGATGATTTGTGGCCGTTCTGGCCACAGATGTCAGCCAGTTCTCAAAACTGGCTGATAATTGTATTTCTCCAAGTGCATTAGTTTATTCGTTAGAAGCTTTCTTCAGCGTTGGTTTCTTAGTCAAATTATGATAGCTCATGAAGCACCTCATGGGTGAACAATTTTGATAGAAGAGAATTCCTGTGATTGATCAAGAACAAACATAGTCAAGTTAAGCCACTCCACACCAACCACTTACGAGACTGAGCAGAGGTGGTCATTCCAAAGGGTTGGATAGTGTAAAAGATTCTAGTGTACTAGTGTATCTAGTGTACGATGTCTGATAGGGAATATGGGAGTTAACGGTGAGTGGTTAGTCTGATAAGTACAAGGGATTGTTCAACAGTTGGTAGAATTGAACTTAGATGGTTATTTTAAGGTAGGTTTTGGTGTTTGGAATAATCAATAGAGGGACTTTACTTTGCAGTATTTTGAGAATATGTGGTTCGCTCATATATCTTGTATTTGGTCCGAAAGATGGAACTTGGAAAGATAGGGGTTTTAGTATGCTGAAACAGCAAAGTGAACGGATTCGAGACAGAAAGTACACAGATTCTGCAAACGAGCTGGGAAGCTCCATGGAAAGAAGCTACATAGGGCTTCATTTGTAGCTCTTCTGGTAGGGATTAGTCAGTTTACTTCTGAACATCCTGGAATTGGTATTTACTGCCAAAACTCTTGATTTAGATCAATGCCAAGCAAACGATCGTCGAATATCAGATTTATTATGTAAGTAAATATGCATGCATATATACATCAGAGCACCGTGTATTATATATAAAACGCTGTGAATCATTGCCTGTTTTAATACTTTGAGTGCAAACCTCACAATCCATGGTACTGAATGCGTCAAAAACGATGCATACTGTGGATAGAATCTCTCTCAATATCAGATACATCAGTCGTAATGCCGCAACCCATGTTATTCATTCAAGCAGGCTAAATATTTTGTTATCCAGGTGTGAAGTTTCTTGTAATAAACTTTGCCCCTGATTTCATATTTGGGACTTCCAACATTCCTTGGTCAGAGTGCCATAGCACTGTTCTTGAGCAATTATGAGCAAGTTACCAAGCCGTGATTGATAAGTTTTTTAAAACGAAGTATGTCGTGAAAAACTGTCGCCTTTTCTAGATGACCGTCCTACAATGATCCAGTGCGTAACTTGTCTCCAAAGAACATTCTTTTTCTGCTCACTTTGAGAATGTGTGTAGTTTCAATTATAGCCCACTCAAGCAGAGCAACAAGTAACTCAAGAAAATATTTTGGTATTTTTTCACGAGAAACTACTCGGTAGGTTGTTGGAATCTCTTCGACCTTGCGAGCAGTTTCTTCCAAGAAAATACACTGCAATATCTCGAATGTCACCCCAACTAAAACATGAATCAGTGTTTGTTCAACGCATTCATCAATCATGAACGAGAGATTTGGCTGGACTCAGTCGAGCTCTTGTTACAACCAAACTGATGTGCAAGCAAGTGTATTTCGTGAACTGTTGTATTTATTTTGTAACTACCAGTTATATTCTGCTCACTAGACAGCATCACAACTTAACAAACTAAAGCCTAAACACAACAAACACTGAGAGTTCCCTACTCAAACGAGAGTGTTTTTACATCTACCAGAAGAGTAAAGACTTTGTGTCATCACTCTAACTGCTCAAGTTACACCAAAAGCCAATGTTGAAAATGGATTATTCAAATGACAGAGGCAGTATACCGTACAAAGTATATAGGGTCTGGTCACGGTTGTCGTCTAAACCAAGTTTTACGAGCAGAGCAAAGTATCAAATGTCATTTTTCTTTCGTTATATTCAGCACACTGGAACCTATATCCAGTCAGATATCCTGAAGTGTTTTGATAACCCTAAGAGCGGAGAGTCCAGATACTTTTCCCAGACAACCGTGAACAAAAAGCTCCTATAAGCTTTGTCTCGGCAACGGCTGAATCCAACTGTGACCTTTTCACATTTCATCGTTGGGTTCTTTTGTTTGTATATTCTGACATGAGATGGTCAATTCTATACAGTAGCTCCATCATATTTAGTTTATTCCTTTTAAACCTGTTTGATACTGACTCATTTTCAAACTGTGTTAGGGTTTTGCAATAGGCAACTGGTTTCATTAGGTTTCGGATTTGATGAAGCCATATTTACAACGTCAAAGGTAACTTTTTCCAGTCCCTTCTAGACCTCGACTTGATATAAGAGTGATAATCATATCGTATTAACTCAACTCTCTCACATTATCTGTTTCTTTCCTATAGGTTATAAAATGATCTTGTTCTCTATCTTCTGTAAAAAACCAACGTCCGGAAGTGGACCGGGTTTCTAGACGAACGAGTTTTTATCAGCTGACTGTTTTGCGGTTTGTGTAATATTAGAGTGTATTCTGTGAAATGACTGCCGACAAATGACCTAAAATTTGTTTTCGTTTTTAGAAAAAAAGGGATCGAAAGCAAAGGGAAATGTCTGCAATTTTCGAATAAACCTCACTCGATGTAGTAGGAAGAGTGTGGTGCTAACTGTGAGTGAGAATGACGAATCAATTGCACAATGCGAATAACTTCTTACGTATGCCATGATGGCGCCGAACTTCAAACAAAGCGGAATACATCTAATCATTTTAGTCGAATACCCCTGTAAGTGCTCCCTTATAATGGCTTTAAATTAGCTTAGCAAATGTAAAATGGGTGTCTCCTGAATTGTCTAGTTGGGTGCTGGGTTGATGTCTTTCACGACTAGCAGGAGTAGAAAAGTGTCACGATCAATCCTGCCCTACGTAATCTTTCCCCATCTAAATCATCACACGCGGTGGTTTACACGTAGCCAATGAGAGTAGTCCTCTCTGAACACAAAATCCGGTCAACCTAAACAAAATTCCTGTGCTTTGTAACCATTCTTCAAGAAAACAGCCTAAATCAATTGTGTGCGCAAAAAACGTATTGTGACGCGATTCCATCCAATCCCCGGACTACATGAAACATTCATGGTTGTGAGCCGCAAAACAACTCCGTTCAACAGGACTCGTTGCAGTTCACCTTGCATTATTGACTACGTTCCCATACACTCCCGTAATAGTAATAGTAATAATACCGAGAGGTGTTGACTGTGTGGCCAAATGAAAAGTCACTCACCTTTATGAATAATAAAGTGGCAAAATATTGCACACACACCCGTGGACATGCAGGCGCGCGAGGGCATATCCGGAAACGTGTTTAAAAGTACACCGCCAGAAAATGAATGTTTAACTATGAACAGTATAGTTGTGCAGCAATTCTCGGGCGATTAAGGACCGCGGTAGGTTTCTCAATTCGTAAGCAGCTCGTAGGGTTTTTGGAGATGAAGCACACACCATGGGAGCTGAGTTCAATGAATTTTGAATGTGTTGAGGACTGACGATGGACTGAAGTGTTGAGATTGAGGGTGGGGACTGAGTTGTGCGTGTGCCTATCCAGGCAAAGTGTTCTCCCCATAGACAAGAATGTTAATAATGTACGAATGAACGGTTGACCTATTATGTGAGTCCAGTCCTACGGTCCTACCAAAGTAAACATGTCCAT